CGGAACTGAAATCCTCTCACGCGGCAATATAATTAGTGAGCAATTGGCGAAGGTTAAACATGTGGAGTTGGAATGTCATCTATTCAGGAATACTTTTAGCTTCCACGACCTCGTTCGTTTCATCGACGCTTGTCCGTGCTTGCAGAGACTCGAGATTAAGGTATTTTATATATCCTAATATTTTATATATTATCCAAAAATTGATCAACTCGAATCGATTATATTCATATATGTATATTAATATATTGTTATAATTTTGCAGTTTACGACAACAAACTTTCACGATAAGTATTATCATATGAAGGTGGTGAACAAGGCCTCAAATGATGATCATCCGAAAACGGTGAAACTGTCGGGAATCAAAGCGTCTCCGAACGAAGTGGAACTCGGGGTGCTCGTTATTGGAAAAGCTACGGCACTTGAAGAGCTTATCGTGGAAATTAGCCCCGACAAAAGCTACACAAACCGAGAAAGGACGATAGCTCGTGTACGGAAAGAATTTCAACCAATACTACAAGATTCGGTTAATTTTGTTGTTGTCTAGATATTTAATTTAATCTAAGACCATCGAATTTATATTATATGCTGCTTGGCTGTGCTTTCAGAATGTTAACAAAATTGTTTTTCAAGTCCTGTTTGTGCCATCTTGGGGCAAACAAGTTTATATATATAACAGCAGTTCTTTTCAATAATTTTCTGACATGATTAGCTTATTACGTAAATTACAATAGACACATTACAGATTAAAGTAACTATATCAACATAACTCAAATGCATAAGACACATGTAGCACTATATATAACAATGTGTATATACAGCAATACGTACCTGTCATCATAAAATAAAAATAGACAAAAAAATAAAAATCGACCACACATAGAACATATTCAACAAAAAGAAAACCGATCAAATTCCTTTAATCCCAACACAGTTGAAGTTCAAAGATTCTAAATAACATTGCCAGCAAATCATTAACCAAACGGCGCCGAAAAAACAACCTACGACGACAAAACAACCTTAGGTATCATAGCATATTTTGGCACCGAAAAAGAGAAATCTACAAAAACAAATGTTCATAGACAAAAAGATGTAGTCCTGTAGTTAGGTTTTTTAAGTCAACCAAAATCAGCAGTAGAACATGACATCCTTAACATTGTCCATAATTGCAGGCAGAGCCCGAACCTCTCCAACCCTCTCCCTCATCGCTCCACCGGGGCCCGCTGCAGCAGATCCACTGTCGGAGAATTCTCCCGCTTCAATGTAGTAACGGGCTCGGAATGCAGCAAGATGTGCGTAGTAAGCTGGTGGGACTGCACAACAGACGATCAATTTCAAGTTAATATAAAAAAGAGTAACCGAGTAGAACAAAACGATTTGAAAGATTATGATCAGATTGAAGGCTGTATATCTTACCTATGGAAACTGAGCGAGTGCACCTTGCATATCTGAGGGGTAAAGTACGAAAAAATTGAAGTCAATTTATTTGAAGTATTTAAAAAATAACGTATGATTGTATTCAACATTTATAACGAACGAATACTTACGTGTAACACAAGCTGTTGGTGAGAATTTGCAGTGCATCTGCACTGAAGCGATTTTCATCGTACAACACATGGTAATGTGCTGGACGACTAGTTCCCTATCAAGACCAGAATTATCAAAAAAAATGTATTATAATTCGAACAAAGTATAGATCGAGATATATATGTAAAATACAAGCTGAAATTTTCAACGAATTATTTGAAGTGCTACAAGATTGTACCTGGATCCCAGCATGGCTGCAAAGATAGAAATCGAATTCATTGGGGTGGCAAATCTTGGTATCAACCACAGTACCTGATTCACAAAAACACAACGATTTATACACACAAATTGGGAAGATTAAGAAATAATAAATAAATTATATTAAACATTAATAAATAATCCGTACCTGGCAAAATGTTACCACTCTTGTCTGTAGTACTACGACTTCTATGGTCAGCAGGAAAGAGACGAGTATGATGCCTCTTTTGAACCACAACAAAAGTTATTCTTGGCTGATAATCTGCCTGAAGCGAAGCACATGCCTGAAGCTCACAATGTTATCCATGCAAAACAAAGACATACTTTTCAGACAAGGTCACTCGAGAAATTTACATGCTAAAAAAGTGGAAGTACAAAAAAAGGCGACAAGAAGCATGTATATATACCTTCCTAATTGCATCAATTTCATACAGAAGAACTTGATTAAACTGTCCTTCGCTCACACCATCCCTGTAATTTGAAAATAATTACGAAATGGCAAACATCCAACACTACGAGTAAATCAAATGCACATCACCAAAATCTCTAACCTGTAAAAGATGAGCCTGCTAGGCTTGCACTTAGTGTTCTTGTAGAATGCAACCAAATGTTCACTGCAAAAAAAATATGGAAAATAAGAATTGAGCAAAGGAATTAATAAAATATAGCATAATGTAAATATATATGAATCAAGATTAGACAATGCTAACCGAATCAATCCACCATGGACTAAGCCCTTGTTAGGATCTTGATAACTAGTGTAGAGATCCTGAATAATCTCTTCCCTGTGGCCTTGTGCAGACACCAAACCTCTGTACTTAGTGACTTCTGGCCAATCCATTGAGGCCACCACCTGAGAATAAAAAATAAAAATAAGAAGACTTCAATTTTTTCAATTCTTCGCATTTTCGTTATTCTGAGCAAATAGGTGAAGGAATTCAGGGCTTACAGCAGCTATAGAAGGACTGGAATCCTCCCCTGGTTGAGGGTGAGTGACATCAGCACCAAATATTATGGTAGGGATGTCACTAATGTAAGGCATTTTCCTAAGCAGTGCCTGCTCCAAAACTGTATTTCGCCCGCCAGCCTAAGTCAGAACACAAGGTGTGATTCAGAACAGTCAATTCAGGGGATATAACATGGCGAAAAAAAAAGAGAGAGATGGACTCAAAGTTCATGTGACAAACCTTCACATTGATCTTCAGTGATACATTTTCGAGGTACTGAATATTGCATTTCAAAACCTGTTTAGGCTGACAGCATTGTGATACAATGTCTAATTCTGTTTCACACACCCTCTTGATTAAACCTGTCGTGGGAAAAAAAATGAGAACGTAAAAAGATGAATATTTGTATAAAAGTTTATATGTTGGACTTGTAGAAACTAGTCATCATAACTAACCATATGAACCAGTCACGTCGGGCAATATAATAAGAAGCAACTGAAGTTTGTTCCCAGTTTTCAAAGCCTCCGAGTGGATGGCATTTAGGGACTGCTCAATTTGGTTAGAATGCCTTGTACGAATAGGAACTAGAGGATGTTGACCAAATTTCTACGCACAAACAAACAGTTTTAAACATGCTAATTATTACCACTTTTTTTTACTGTAATGAAATTATGCACAAAAATTCAACACTTACCATCCCCTTGCCACAGCACATTTCAAGCAATTTATTGATAAATCTAGTGACAACATCATCATTGCTCCGGGAGAAATTGACACACGTCCAAAAATCCACCGTTCCACCATTGATCATTTTCTAGCAAAACACATTTAGTTAGTGGATCTGACAAAGAAAAACAGAATTAAAATCTCCAAACAGGGTTTAAAGACAAATGTCCGTCCGAACAATTTTAACTTTTACCTTGTTCATCATATTCCATTGTCCTACATATGGCTGAACGCGTTTCTCCTTTCCAGAATCATGATATTTCAGCTGGCAACAGAAATGATAGCAGCATAAGTTAAAAAGGTCATGTAAAAGGGATACAAAAATTAAATAAATTATAAAATATTACCATTGGAGGCGGCAATACTCGTGCCTCGATGGACAGAAGGTCAGGCCTAACTTGTATACCAAACTCTGCATTCACAAGTTCATCATTGTTGTAGTTATTCTTTTCCACCATCTGCAAAACATACAATTATAAGATCAATACAAAACTATTTTAAAGACAAAGCTGTAATACTAATAAATTTCATATATGCATACCTTTTTAATGACATTCTCTCTCTCCTCTGGACGTTTGCATGTGGCTCGGAGCAGTTGAGTAACTTGTCTCTCGTTCAATTTTTTGGAGTATCTTTGCCCCGCGACAATTTTGCATACCTGTGCAAAAATAAAAATGAAAATACTTGGTAACAAGCAAATTTTACAAGAAACGGAGAAAGCAAGACCACAGAATTTAAGAGATGAAAAAGGGTACCTCCATTGGAAGATAAATAGGTCTCGCAGCACTGCCAGCCTGAAGTGCTGGCAGAAGTGGATACTTCAGCACAATATTGTATTTCTGACGGAAGTACTGATAAACTGAAATTTGTGCTCCAGACTCATCCACAGAAAACCTGATTTGTCGCATCAATTATTTTGCATTAATTGTTGTAGATTAAGAAAAATATTAATTATAAACAACTAATGATAGATCAAAGATTTAAAAGTCCAGAAGAACAACTGCAAACTTGAGTAAAATCTTTAAGAGTACTGTTTTAATGCACCAAAGCGGTAGAAGAAGGAAAAATGTTAGACGAGCTTACATAAGCCTTTGTGTTGGTTCAGTCGAAAGCCCTGTTATCTTATGATGCTTTACATGGTCCTGATGATTGTTCTCAACCTTAACACCTTTCAGAGCTCTTCTCACCTTAAAAGAAGAAAAACAAAACAGCATTGATTAATATGAAAGAAAACTCAAAACAGTGACTGCTGTACAAACTCAGACAATCAAATTATTACCTTAATGCGATCTTGGTCAGATAAAGGCCTATTCGGATCCCTGAGGTTGAGGTACTTGAAAACAAACTCAGACACATAAATAGGTTCAAAAAATGCTCTAGCCGACATATCTGCAACACAGCATTTGAACAATTAGAAATAACGAGTTTTAGTATAACCAAAAAAATCGCATGTATGCTTTAGAACCATAACCAAACAAAAATAGTGATAAACATAAATTAGAGACAAAAAATTGCTAAGTACCAATGTTTAGTGACAGCCCAATCTGTGTTGGGCGAAGACTCTGATAAAACCCTTTCCAGTATTCCAGGCCATTACCAAGCTCCCCAGATTCAAACTCCGGATGAAAGAAGGACCTCCCAACAGCTTCATAGCTGAATTTCAAAACATCAAATAAGAATATTATAACCATTACGGATTGTGTATGTTCTTATATTTAAACTAAATAAAAAAAACAGAATATCACCTATTAGATGGCTTCTCCCTAAGGACCACATCAAGAAACTGTATAGTTTCCTGTGGGATATCACGTTGTTGACCTTTTAGGAACTCCTTCAAGTGATAGAGATCAGCTTTGGAAGCAAATTTGATCGAAACCTTGAATTCGCGCTCCCTCCTGCATAGGAACACAGATACATTATTCACGTTTCATAACGAAATCGGTTATGGAATCGATTTTACTTAATAAACGAATGAGACTTCACCTGGATCCACTATCTTCATCAAGCTTGATGACAAAGTCCTTAGAGGCAAAGGGCAGTGGCCCTGCAGTGTAGCAACTCTTTCTTCCGTCGTATGCTAACTTTCTCTTGCCCAAATGCGAGGAGTGAAAGGTTTTGACAAGCTGATTCATTATCATCCGGCATACCTTCTTTGATGCAACCTCAGGCGAGATTGCAACCTAAAAATGAAAATAACAGGCAGAAAAATAATCGAAACAATTACAAAAAATCGGAACACATTACTCTTGTATTCAAAACACAGAAAAACACAAAAGAAATGCATTATGCATCTTGAATGTACATTAAAATAAACAGAGGCATCTATTCACAAATCACATAAACAATAAACCAGAAGAGTGTTAATGATTTCGAAAAGAATTACGATACATGATAAACAAGTTTTCTGAAAAAGAGAGTGCCATGTGTCCATACACCATAAATATTACATGCACATTTTTTATTTATTTTTTTTAAATTAAAATAATTAGAAATAATTCAATAAAATAATATATATATATATGTAATATATATATATATATATATATATATATATATATATATATATATATATATATATAACATATTTTTTAATGTAAATGGCAGATCCATACTCCTAAACATTCCATGCAACATATTTTCCAAAAACATAATTAATAAGGTGAAAGTGCATAAGAAAAGCAAAAAATAAAAAAAAATAAAAAATAATAAAAAAAAAAAAAAACCAAGCAAACTGTACAGAACGCCATTTATACGGTCAACATACATAAGAAACACAGCAAACCAGAAATGGAAAAAAACAAAATCTCACATACATGTGAAAAAGGATCTGTGTAAAATACACACATACACATATATAAGAAACAAACACCATGTATACGGTCAACATACGTAAGAAACACACAAAAAATACAAGCAAACCAGAAATGGAGAAAAAAAAATATTCTCATATACATGTGAAAAAGGATCTGTATAAAATACAAACAAATGCATACCCAAAAACACAAACATAAGAAACAAACACCATGTATACGGTCAACATACATACGAAACACATAAATAATACAAGCAAACCAGAAATGGAGAAAAAAATTTATTCGCGTATACATGTGATAAAGGATCTGTCTAAAATACAAACAAATAAATACACAAAAACACATATACATACATACACACACACACAGCAACACATACATGAAGTGAAAAGAGATCTGTATTAAATACAAACAAATACGCAGTCTCTACACAGAAAAGCACCTTCTCAGTCAAAAAAAAAAAAAAACACTTACATCGTAGTGATTCAGATCTCTATCAGCAACCGAGACCAAAAAATGGTTCGCCTTAACGACGGTCTTCTGTCCGAATGATCCGAGGCCTGGCCTTGCCGGCAGCCTCACCGCCTTCGTGGAAGCCGGTGGTAACTGTCCTTGCTGCGGAATCACCGCCGCCACCGCCGGAGCCTGTGGCTGAGGCGTCGGAGCAGGTGGTTTGGTCACCGGAACCACGGACGAAGAAGCCTGAAGCGTAAGCTTCTGTTCCATCTGATGGCTAAGCGCTGCGGCCGCCGGCACCACCGGAGATTGCTGGTAAGGAGTGGCAGAAGCCGAAAGCGACTGCTGCGGCGGAGCACCGGCACCGCGTCCCCGACCACGGCCTGGACCGCCGCCGCGCGATGGTTGTTGTCCACGGCCGGCAGGATGTTGTCCCCTACCGCCGCCACGTCCTCGCCCTTCGCTACCGATTCCCGACATTCTCGCCGATTTCTCACACTAAATCACGATTTCGTTTTAGAGAGAGAGGATTATAGAGTGCGCGTCGTGTGACAGAGAATGGGCGCAGCACATATATATATAAAAAGTAAAAAAAGATGAAAGAGAGACTCTGTGAAGACTAAAATGGAGGACTTCGGTCCTATATATATTTTTAAACTTCTTTCCTCTCCAGTTCGTACAGTGTTAACCTATAAAGCGTGCTTCATTTCAAAAAATATAAAACGCTATGCAACTTTCATAAACCGAAGCGACTGCAGGGATTGAACTGCAGAGAATGTTTGGCTCCGTATGAACGGAATGAGAAAGGACGAAAATTAGGAATGTCGTAGGTGGAAAATAAAAATTATTTATTATTTATTACATATTAAAATGAAGGGATTGCACACTCTCAATGTGATTGGACTATTTTGCCCCTATAATTTTGTTAATTTATATGTAGTCCTCTTTCCTTTTTTTTGTCAAGACAATTTCCCCTTTCTCCTTTTTTTCTTTTTTTTCTTTTGTTCTATTGTCCTTTTCCACAAAGCTTACATAACTTTTTAATTTCAAATTAATGAAATTTTTCTTCTTGTTATTTTTTGATGATTACTATTACCATTTAAAAAATATATAATGTTGACTATTGCTCCGATTTTATTATATATTGCTCGAATTTTAAGAACGGTCACATTGCGTGTATAAATTTATAAAAATAATAAATGTGCGTAAATGCACCGTAAATATTACTCGCACAATTGATTTTCATACTATGTAAATCGATATTGTTTACTTTAAAAAATATATACTTTTAATTATTATGTGATCCAATAGAAAGATTTCATCGATAATGCTATAGTTATTATATTATATGCGAGAAATTTTGACCGACAGAAAATAAATAAAATTACATACCACGTGTTCGTACAAAAATTGAAACTTTCCCCGAGCGAAAATCTTATCCGCAATGCTTTTGTGGTTCTACACTCCAGTCCTGGTTGTCAGCCAGGCTGTTTTACGTATGTTTAGATAGGGATGGAATTTATTTTGCCAAAATCACCAATTGACTACCAAAAGAGTTATATCGAACAATTATGGCGCTCACGATTACCAATTACAAAAAAAAAAAGTTATATTATTCTTTTGGTTAAAATCTCACAAGAAGTTGATGTAGGGTGCATTTTGGCATGATAAATATAATTTGATGGTGAACTTTGTTAATTTTATAATGTTAGGGTGTAAATGGGCAATTAAGTTATTCTTAGGGTCCAAAATGCAATTTCTCATTAAAAAATCTAATAAATATTTAATAATGTCTAGAAAATATATATCGCGGAACTAAGTTTATTAAATTTGAAACAATTACTTTTTATATTATCCCCACTTGCAAAATAGTAATTTCACAAAGCTCACAAGTAGTCAATTAAAATAAGGACAATAATAATTCAATATTTAATGTGCTAACAATTACTGTAGGGTCCACTACTAAGTAAGTGAAGTTTAATTCCCAAAAGATAACATCACTTATGTGAAACAAATCAATAATGATCATTTTTGCTCTGTAAATAGAAGGCGCGTCACATCAGTTTGCATATGATTTAATGTGATTTGACTCAATAAATCATTCGTTTTTTGGCTTAATCCTAATTTAAACTCATAAAGTTAATAGCATACTGCACCCTTATATAAAATTAATAACACTTTACACCCTTAAAACAAATTAATAACACTTTGTACTGCAAAATACAATAAATCATGAATTGAATATTTAACACTTAATGAGGATAATTTCAATTTTTATTGTTTTTTTATTTATTTATTCACAGGGTGCAAAAAAAAAGACTAAATTGCTATTTTATTTTAATTTGAACATAAAATCAATATTTTTTTTTTAGAATGAATTATTGAAGAAAATTAAAATTCCTTTTAAAAAAATAATAGCTTCACACAAAAGTATTTGATTGTTGGATCTCTTATTGTAATTATTCAAGATATTTCGAGGAAAATATAATTTTCAAATAACTTGATAGCAAAATAGCTGAAAGATTTTTGTTGTTTGTTTATTTATTTTTATTGCGGAAAAAAATGATAAACGTATTTATGAGATTTTTTTATTTTTTTTGCAATTTGTCATTTCAAAATGATTAGTGAATATAAAAAAAGAATGATGTTAAATATAGCAGCCTAAAAATCCCACTATAATATGAAATTACCTTCATGAACTTTAAAAATTTATTTAGGGTGTATTATGCATGATTTATGATGTTCGAGGATGTTAGATGCTATTAATTTTTTTCGATGGTGCAAAGTACTAAAATTTTATATTTCAGGGGTCCAGAATAAAATTCGAAATGTAATTAACAGCTCAGCTTTCTATGCTTGCATAGCAGGGTAAAAAGGTAAAATGCATGCAAACGACAACTCAGTCACTCCTACCTCATGCAGAACAACGGTTACAGAACAAAATCTGATCCGCAGTCCATCATCCTACTCGAAATCCGCGCGTGTGGTACACTCCAGTGAACTGTGTGCATCTCAAGTGGAGCGTTGATGAGAATTCTTACAAGCGCGAGTGGGGTTTGTGTATCCAAATGATTACGCTGCTCCGAGGTTGATGGCTAGTGGTCGGTTGGAACAGATTGAAGGATGTTTGCTGCTAGCTTGCGCCGGCCTCGGCGCACGTCCCGCGAGGTGTTGGATTAAGTTTTATGCGGTTATTATTTATTACTTATCCACGTACAAAATATTTACCATACAATAAAATTATTTACTATTTTTTTTAATTTAAATTATTTTTAAAGTCTTATGAATTATTCTAATGTAAGAATATTAAAAAAAGAATCGGTTAACTATAAATAATTCTCACTAGTGTACCCAATTTGGTGGTTTAAAATAAAGAAATATGTAAGGAATAATGCTTATATGATAAATTATTTTTTTAAATAATGACGTCACTCTATGATTCTTTCACATTTGAGCGAATTAATTTAAAATTAGAATTACTTTCTCTTTGCCTGTGATAGCACGTTGCTATATCTTTTTCCCCAGCTTTTCCAGAATTGCATATAAAATAAAAATGTATTTGTCATTTACCATTTAATGTTTTTTGCAGCAAAAAAACCCCTATCCAAGTAACCATTTTTCTTGTAGACGAAGAATACTAAATAGATAAAGGGTAAATGCAAAACCCCTTAAATTAGGCTAAATAACGATAATACCCCCACCTATTCGTAATTACCAAAAACCCCGTGAGGTGTTTTTCCATCTTACACCAACTCATTACAGTGTGACTTTCACGGATATCCTTTTATCCCAGGAAATACTTTACACTAGTTCAGATTTTTTTTTTATTTCCCACATATTTCACCTAACTCGATCAACAGTTAATCAGATGGAGTTTTTGATTGTTACGGATAGGTGGGGGCTATTTTTCGGCATTTAGCCTAAGTTCATGAGGTTTTTCGTTATTTACCCTACGGTAAATAAATAAATAAATAATAAATAAATATTACTTTTTTTATTTTAGTATTACATACAAAAGAGCAAATTATTTCATGATATAATTAATTTTCTTATTTTTTCTATAAAAATAAGTATTTCATTAAAACAAAAAAAATATGATTTAACAAGTTTATATCTAGTTTTAGATAAAATTAAACTTTAAGCGATGTGTTTTTGTAATATTATTGAAAAATGATATGTGCCAATGTAATTAGCCATAATCTTGGTTAATAGTGAAATGGGTTAAATATTAGCTGATATCAAACCTCAGTCGGTATTTGTAATTTTCTAAATCGTAGAGGGTCCCTATATAATTAAATATAAACCTCAGGAAGGTATATCTGATTTTCTAAATCAAAGAGGGTCTAGATATAATTACACTAAACCTCAGGGAGGTATGTGTAATTACTCTTTTAATTAAATACACTTGCTTTTTTTGTTATGCTTTTTCGTACAGACAAGTTTTATTTTTGTAGTACTATATTGTGGAATTTTTTTCTTTCTTTTTTCCTTTTTGTTTTTGGCGTTGATGGACTGGGGACCAGTCTTTTATTTATTGTAATCGAATCTTATTATTTGCATTATACGCACAAAATAATTAAAAATGTAACTTTTTTTATTTATTAAATTACAAAATACATCCATTGTATCATTTATGTTTATACTTTATATCGATAATAATGTGCTATAATTAAATAATACTACGTACGACCAATTATTTTCATTACATTTTATTAATTAATATAATTTCTTATTCAATAACTATTATAGATGAAATTTTAAAGATAAATTTTATAATTTAGTCCTTGAGAAATTAATATTTGGATGCAGGGAAGTGAAAATAAGAGTAAATTACGGTCACCCCTGAGATATGGTAAAAATATTAAAATCACCCATCGTGTTTGCGTAATTACAACCACATCTCCCAACTATGAATATTCGTACACGTTCATCCTTGTAGTGTCTAATTTAGCGGAATATTTCGTTTGTACTCGTTTTATCCCATTCGAGCTCCATATTTTTAAAAAATGATCATAAGATGTGTTTTTTGGCTTGTAAATATAAAATTGTGGTGTATCGAAAACTAATTTTTTTGCATAAATACGATTACAAACTACAGAATATTCCATAAAATCTAGAAAATTCTATTGAATTTGACACCATAAGAATAGTTTAGGTGGTGAGTGTATTACCCAAATATGACCGGTTTGTTCGTAATTTGACATTAACCCAAGAGGTCTACCGTAATTTAACCATAGAAATAAATAGGGAAATGGACAAATTTGATTTATTATTTCTGTAATTAACTGATCCTCGTTATCTTACGATGGTGACTTGATATGTGAATGTCATGTGAAGGTAAATTAAGTATTTATAATTAATTAAAAAAAAAAAACCTTTTTTTTATATATTATATATGATATTGAAAATATATAATTAAGTGCAATATTTCTGAAAATAGGAACTGAAGTGGTATACGGTGAAACGTCCTTTTCGGAAAACATGAAGCAGATACCGTAAAAGCGTGTTTTGGTGTCTTTTTCCGGACGATGTTGGAATTGGTGTTATTTTTTTGGTTTGTAGCAAAAGCGGAAAGAAAACAGAGTTGACGTTTTTTATTTTGAATAAAATAGTAATTATAGTACGATTCTTTGAAGCTTCGTGAGTAAGCAAGCATTTCAATTCGATTTTATTTGTTTATTATTAGAATTACTTACGGAGTGATGCAACCAATATGGAGGCCCATTTCAAATGGATATATAAATGATTAAGTACATGATGAGTTTTAGTAAATGCAAGCATTTTTTCATTTAATTTTTAATTCCATCTCACCCATTTATAATTTATCTTTTTATTTTACCTTTTTAAGTAAAATTCCTATATTTCATTATTCTATTTAGTGTTGGTGAATTTTTAAATTTAAATTATATATTTTAACTTTTATGATTAAATTAGGAAAAATCGTAAAAACTCAAAAAATTGTCCATAAATATGTCTTGAAATTGAAAATTAGAGGTTTCTACTTGAAGTGGAGAGTTTTTTTTGGTGGTTTTTGTGGATTAAAAACACAAAAAGATGGTGGAAAATTTGACGTAGGAAAATCTTCACGAATCCTGAAAAAACGAGCATATACAATAGACACTAGTTTGAGTGATGCTCAAAATTTGATGAACTCGTGTTTTGATGATTAACAATGCAATATTCTGGTAAAGTAAAAGTTTGAGCGAAAAAGACGGAATCGGTGCTAGATTTTTATTAAATAAAATGCCTTACGTTTACTAAAATGCATCATGCATTTATCAAAGCCCATTTGAAAAAGAAATTTTATTGTAGTAATTAATTGGGGGCCCACGTAAGATGGGCCTTATAGAAGTGGATTTTTTTGTGTATTTCTTGCTTTGTATGTATTATATTTTTTTTTTGTTAGAACAAAGGGATGTATTCGCATTTATTTGTAATATTTAAATGTCGACCTTAAATATATTTTCATAACTAATCTGAAAAAAAACTTTGGCTATGTAATATGGGCATGAGTTCATGAAAAATAATTAATAAGTAATTAAATAAAATAATATACTTTGTCTGAATTATGATAATACATTCAAAACATCATAGAGAAAAAAATTAAATGCTTCCAACACAAAATAATCAATATATTAATTAACAGCATAAAAAATTAAATACATAACACCAATTTTATTTACCATAGACAATATATAAAGAGTGTAATAGTGCATTGTTTTCAAACACAAAATTACCTTAACCAAATTAAATTAAAGTTTCCCCAAAATTATGAAGGTGAATATAGGAAGATCAAGGCTTATTAAGCCTATCTATCAAGACAATCATCCTCCAAAATCACATTGCATTCCTTTATCTGTTTTTGATAGGGTTACCTATAACCAACATTTAGCCGTAATTTACGCTTATCGCCCCCCGACCCCACCGAACATAACCCTGGAGCTAGGGCTCCGAACGGCGTTGGGTGTGTATCCAGAGTGGGCCGGGAGGCTCGGGAAAGACAGTAACGGAAACCCTATTATTCTTCTCAATGGCGAGGGTATTAGATTTGTGGAGTCGTCAGTTGATTGTGCGCTCGATAAAGCTATTATTTTCAAACCTTCTTCGTCTTTGCTAAGGCTACACCCTAGCTTAGAGGATGTGGTAGAGCTCGTTCAAGTTCAAATCACAAGGTTCACTTGTGGCTCGATGGTGGTGGGTTTTACTGCTCACCACCTTGTGGCTGACGGAAACTCGACCAGTAGTTTTCTGGTCGCGTGGGGCCAGGCCAGTCGGGGACTAGAAATTAGCCCACTTCCTTTCCGCGACCGCACGATATTCAATCCACGAAATCCTCCTAAATTTGAATTTGAGCATAAAGGCGTAGAATATGTCACGAAAAATCTAAAGCAAGTCTATCCTCTAATCAATTGTAACGTGGATAATATCATGGTGCACAAAGTTCATTACTCGGTCGATTTTCTTTCGAATCTCAAGGCGAAAACTTCTCCCACTTACGGAAATAATAATAAGACATTCAGCACTTTTGAGAGCATTGTCGCACATCTATGGAGAGCCATAAATAGGGCTCGTGGCTTAAACGGGTACGAGACCACCCGAGTAAGAATGTCAGTGGACGGTCGAGCCAGACTAAACCCTAAGGTGCCAAACGAGTATTTCGGCAACTTGGTTCTTTGGGCATTTGCTAGTGCAAAAGTGAACGACCTCTTAACCAATCCCCTTCCTTATGCAGCCAGCCTTTTACACGAGGCGGTCGTTAAAATCAACGATAATTATTTTAAATCATTTATCGATTTCGCTAATCATAAAGTAAACGAGGAGGATCTAGTCCCGAATACAACCGCGGATACACAAGAGTCGATATTGTGGCCGAATTTGGAGGTTGATAGTTGGCTAAGGTTTCCATTTTATGACCTAGACTTTGGAAAAGGTGGCCCCCACATTTTCATGCCTTCTTTCTTCCCAACCGAGGGGATGATATTTCTTGTGCCATCCTTCATTGGAGATGGAAGCATAGATGTTTTTGTTCCTCTATTTCAACAAAGTTTGACAATATTCAAACAAATATGCTATTCTCTAGACTAAATTATTATAAGCAATCTCCTATTATTTTATTTGGCATTTTTTTTTAATACAAGATTTCTTTAATCATGTGATTGTGGAATTTTTTTAATAGCATACATAGAGGTGGATTTATATTACAATAAATATTTAATTTGAGATATTTTTTCCTTTTAGCAAATTGTTCGATTAATCTATTGTCTTTTTGTAATTTTCTTTCGATTTTCGATTTAATATTAAATAGTAATTGTAGACTATGATTATAGGCCACTAAACTATTCCGAAAGACGAATGTACTAATGTCGTGTATATTTATGGACAGTGATCGCTTCACCGCTCGGAAAACGCTACTACTTATCAATAGTATATAATTTAGACCAAGATTTTTTCACACGATACTCCTTCATCACCCATGCATCACACGATCTGGATGGATCGTATTTGACCATAATCACGAAAATGCCCGACTTCGTTTTACCTTCACTTGTCAACCGGATGCATGATTTGAGGAATCCATCCAATTAAAGATTTGGACTGGGCCCAATGCAGCAAGATTGTAAATGGGCCTAGTTCTGGTGACACTAAAGTTTGAAATATTTCTTCAATTTTGATAATTTTAACTTTTAATTATAGAATTTCCATTGCTTATTTTAAGTTTCTCGTCCAAAAAATTCAATGATTTATTTTGCTAGATAAAAGAATATTTTCTTACAAGATCATCTAGATGAATTTCTGCATTTGTAGATTTATTAATTTTCAATATATTTTTGTTTGTAGATGTAAAAAAACACGTCTGACCACATAATAGGAATCTTAGGAACGAGGAATTTCGTCTTTTGATCTAAGCTTGGGTGTCTGTAAGTTTTGATAGTGAAATATGGCCAATACGGATGAATGATGAATCCATGTTAAATATGATATTTTTGGGTAAATATATTGAAATTTTAACTTATGTTTTAAGAGGTTCTAATTTTCATTATTTGGACTCATTTTCGCGAGTTAGGACTTCAATAAATTGCAATTTTTTTTATAATCAATTTAGCTATTTATGGAAATAAATGTAAATATAATTTTAAGGAGGTGGATTTTACATAATATGATTTATTTATTTTAATTGTGAACTTGTGATCAACATTTGTATAATGGGGATTGTATTTAGAAAGTCTTTTGGTTTTGTTAATCAATATTGATGTAAATTGTAATTCTATCTTGTGAATTTTTATACTGAAATGATAAATGTCGTTTTAATTTTACTAATGTCGTTTTGACTTTGAAAGTGATTTTGACTATTTTCTATTTTGAATTTGGCAAAGTTCAAAAGACGGAAACCGTAGTCCTTTGAGATAGCTTTCTAATCCAATATGAATCACCTGGATTGGATGTCGGGTAACAAAGTTATGCATGAATGAGTTACGTTTTAAATTTTACATAATTTAAAACATCAAAGTTGTGGGCAGTGTTCATTAATTCATGCATAACTTTCTCAACCGACATCCAATCTTGGCGATTCAAATTAGATTAGAATGCTAACTCAAAGAATTACAAATTCCATGGTTATGTTTGTTAAGCTTTTCAAATTATTTCCAAACTTTCCCCAAAACAAATTCAAATATTTCTCTCTCTAACAAACATGATTTGACCGCTACAGTGAAAATTGTCTTCACTAAAATACAAAATCAAATCACTTTATCTTTTAAATTCTTCTTCCAAAATACATTTTTTCCAACACCTTTCAGACATGATTTGACTTGCTACAGTACAAACTGTCTCCTCCCAAAACACAAACAAACTTTATTTAATTTTCAAATTCTTCTCCCAAAACATCTTTCCCCAAAATAAAATGGAAATGAAAGCCCAAAAGCTTACCAAACATAGCCCATGTTCTGAATTTTGCCAAATTCAAACTCGAAAATAGTCATGATCACGTTTGAAGTCAAAACGACATTATGAAAACTGAAACGACATTTATCACCTCCCATATTTATATTGTAATTTTTATTTTAAATATTTTATTTGGATTAATAACTTAAATAGTAATAATAAAAAAATAAAAAAACAAATCGTAAAAAGACATTAGTAAATTTGTGTGGTAAAATGACATAGTAAAAATAGTAATTGTAATAAGTAAAGGAAAATAAATACTTATTTTCATTAAAATAAAAAAGAAAAGGTAAAATCAATCGGAAAACCCTAGCGCATAAAATTTTGATAACGTTTTGTTCTCTCTTTCTTTTCGAGCGAGTCTGAAAGTTATGACGACGGCGGCGATGCAACAACCTAAGGTGCGATGGGGAGAATTGGAGGACGACGGCGGCGAAGATCTGGATTTTCTTCTGCCGCCGAAGCAGGTGATCGGACCCAACGAAAGCGGGATTAAGAAGGTGATTGAGTACAAATTCAACGACGAGGGCAACAAGGTGAAGATTACCACCACCACGCGCATCCGCAAACTGGCTAACGCTCGACTCAGCAAACGCGCCATCGAGCGCCGCTCCTGGCCCAAGTTCGCCGACGCTGTGCACGAGGATGTCGGCAGCCGCCTCACTATGGTCTCCACGGAAGAGATCATCCTCGAACGCCCACGCGCCCCAGGTAAACTCACGCGCTGCCCTGTCGGCGATGTATTTAGCTTATCCCCACCCTTGACTGTCTTATATTTATCCGCCTCTTATCTGGATCTTGTTGGTATATATATATATATATATATATATATATATATATATATATATATATATATATATATATATATATATTCATATATCTGTGTTCTAGATTTTAATGTTCTAGATCTTGTTTCTTCATATGTGTTGATTGAAAATTATAATGTTCTGGTTCATATATATATGATTGCTAATTTAATTTTATCGTTCGTATGTTGGACTAATTTTGCCTGACTCTGATGAGGCCTGAGATTTTTAAAATTAGGGCATGAGGAATAACATTGCTTAGTTTTACAGCTTAGGAAAAAACGTAGGCACTTTTTGCGTCAATTGGCTTATTTATTCTAACTTCAATTGGCAATCTAATGGTGGAAAGAAGGCATGTTTAATCAGTCCTAATTTGATGAAGATACTTGCACAGCTGGTTATTTATTGTTTTGGCCTTTTTTAAATTCTTGATTCTGAACAAAGATGCTTTGCATAATGTTTTTGTTTTGTTTTGCCGAAACCCGAAAACTAATGTTAACTATCAACTGGGATTCCAATTTTGGTGTCTAATATGATTAATCCTTGGTATCGACTGTTGAGTGTTCACTGTTGGCAATCTCGGAACATAACTTGTCATTGCACATTTTGTTTGGTATGTCTTGTTCATAGACAATCTTTCGAGTCTTATTCATGGTAGTATTCTTGTTTAATACCTTCGTTTACCTTCCTTTTAAGTTCATTTGTAAATCTAGAATGAGTTGGACACCGATGTACATTTACTCTGTTGCACCAAAATACCCGGAATTTGCATCTCTGCTTCTGTGAATTAACATTGTGTAGCAAACTTCATAATCACGGTTTCTCTCTGTTATTTTAAGGCTTGTCTATGAAAAGTGGCGAAATGTATTATTGTTTAGAGAACATCTTCAAGGCGATTAGAAATATTCGTTTTATTAGACCCCCCTGTAATAATCCCCAAGCTTCTTGATTTGATAAAATTCAATACATTTACATAAAAACCCCAGATTCATGATCTGATAAAATTCAATACATAAACACCCCATATCTGTATATATGTTATCACATCACCACCCTCACACTTCTTGATTTGATAAAATATCAATAGTACAAAAACCTAACTCAAAAAATCGAAAAAAAAAACAGGTACTAAGCAAGACGAGGCCAAGGCTTCTGGAGATTCTGTATTCCAAGCAGGAGCCGTACTAATGGTGTGCAGGTCGTGCGGGAAAAAGGGAGACCACTGGACTTCGAGGTGCCCTTACAAGGATATAACTCCGCCAACCGATTCCTTCATTGAGAAGCCATCGGACACCAATCCTTTAACAGACCCTTCTGCAAAGAAAGCTTATGTACCTCCTGGTCAGAGGCCGGGTCAAAAAGAGAGCGGTGGTTCTGACATGAGAAGAAGGAACGAAGAGAACTCTGTTAGGGTAACTAATCTTTCGGAAGATACCAGAGAGCCCGATTTGCTCGAGCTTTTCCGACCGTTTGGGAACGTGAGCAGAGTTTATGTTGCTATCGATCAGAAAACGGGGACCAGCAGAGGGTTCGGTTTCGTGAATTTTGTGAGCAGGGAAGACGGTGAGAGGGCGATTAACAAGCTTAATGGTTATGGTTATGATAATCTTATCCTTAGAGTTGAGTGGGCTGCTCCTAGGGCGAACTAAGTTTTGTGAGTTTGAGATTTCGTTTCGTGGATTTATGTTTTCGTATTTTGAAAGTTTTATTGATGTTTTTAATGGATTTATTGCTTGATTTAATGATGTTTTTTGTGAAATTGTCATTGAATAGGCTCTCTGCGCAAAGGGCATACTACTTTGTGACTTTGTTCTTTCATATGATGGTTTTTTTGTTTATGGATTGATAGTTCATAGTTTGGTATTTTGAAACTTGAATTGATGTTTTTAATGATGTTTTAGTGTAATTATTAATTAATGGGCTGAAACAGATATTTTAGTCAACTTGAAGATTTTGACTTGGCCCAAGAAGCAATGTTGTTAATGGGCTTAGTTCTGATCTTATATATAAAAGAAAGAAACGTTATGGCAAGCTAAAAAATTCTAATAGTATATTTGTAAAATTAATTTATGTGTATATATAATTTTTTTTATCTCGTATTTTCCACATTTTTTTAATTACTTTAACATCAATTAATCTCTTCTGCGCAATCTAAAATCCAATACATCTATATTTTTTAATAATAATAATAATAATAATAATAATAATAATAATAAATAATAATAAATAATAATAATAATAATAATAATTATTATTATTATTATTATTATTATTATTATTGTTGTTATTATTATTATTATTATTATTATTATTATTATTATTATTATTATTATTATTATTATTATTATTATTATTATTATTATTATTATTATTATTATATCTTCAATTTTCCAGCCTACTTTTATAAAAAAAAAACATCACTTCATTTATTTAATAATCAATTCCATATTATGAAAATTAAGTTTTTATAACTTTTTTTTAATGAGTATATATAATTACATTCTTTAAATTTAATTGTAAAATTCTAAATAGATTTTTGTTTGTAGATTTTGATTTGAGTCTTTTTTCTTTCCGTGGATTGCTGATTGTAATTAATAATAAGACAACTATTAAATAAAATTACCATATAATATACTCAGAGTGAACGAGAGGGTATATTTATTCAGTGCACCTATACGATTGGTTGAGGATTCCTTCGTTACTTAAAAAAAGGTTGTAAATTCAGTGTACATGTACGGTTGGTTGTAGATTCCTTCGTTACTAAAAAAAAGAGGTTGTAAAATTTTTTGACTAACGGTAGGAGCCGATAAAACGTTTAGTTAATAAACTTAGTATGTACTAAAAATTAATTGAAAATCCACAATGAAATACTATTCTTTTATCAAATTAGTCATGATAAATTTGTTAACCGGTTGACTAAAAAAAGAAAAGATGGTACAAAATTAGTTAATTTAAAGTAGAAATAAACAAGAAAAAGTAAATATGGTTTTTATGGTTGGAACTTTGAAATAGGACAATTTCAATTCTTTATTTTTAAAATATTCGTCATTTAAAAAATTAATTAATTAATAATAAATAATTATTCCAGAGTGTTCATCTGATAAATAAAAATTAAATTACTAAAGGGGAAAAATAAAAAACCCTAGAGTTCTGTTTCCTCTCTGGGAAAGTACCACCACTCTGACAAGTCTACGGCCGAGATTTTTCAGCGTGCTCCCCCCAATCTCCATTTCGAAGTCTCTTCAGATTCTCCGATTGACTGTAATCGATTGATGGCGGAGGCGTCGGGGTCGGGGTCGGCGGCGGCGGTTGATAGGAACGGCGGCGATCGGAGCGAGACGAGCGATTACACTTCCGAGGACGAGGGGACTGAGGACTACAGACGCGGCGGCTACCACGCGGTGCGGATCGGTGATACCTTCAAACACGGGAGATATGTTGTTCAGAGCAAGCTTGGATGGGGCCACTTCTCCACCGTCTGGCTAGCTTGGGACACACTGAAATCAGTACGTTTTTATATTTTATTTTATTTTATTTTATTTTCCACTCGCTGCATTTCTGGTATGTGTTGATTTGTGGTGTTTCTTTTCACAGTTTTGCCATGTGTTTATATGAATTGGTAGTATTTTTGGATGGGAGCGGGGGGTTTATAAAGTTTTGTAGTTGTTTTCTTCTGAAATTTTATCCTCAAGTATATTTTTTATTGTTGGATTTTGAATATGAAAACTTTATCCTCCGTTTTTTTGTTTTGTTTGGTACCTCCAGAGGGTACATATATGGGTCAAGTTTTGGATTTTGTTTGATGCTGGAATTTGGAAATAATTTGAGGGGTTCACTTTTATTCTAAGTCATGGACATGCTTGAACATGTGTTGTCACTTTAGTTGTTTTGGTTGCTTCAATCATGTTACTGATATTATGACAGTGGAGAAAAATAGTTTTTTTTTTTTTTGGATCGAAGAATGTCGAGAATAATTAATTTGTAAAGCTTTTTTATTTATTATTTTTTTGAAGGGAAGTGAACATTTTAGATTTAAACAGACACAAACATGACTTGTATTATCATTCATGACATTGCCCCCATATCTGGTTATAGATGTACGTAGCTTTGAAAGTTCAGAAGAGCGCACAACACTATACCGAAGCAGCAATGGATGAGATCACCATTTTAAAGCAGATTGCCGAGGGAGATCCTGAAGATAATAAATGTGTGGTGAAGCTTTTGGATAACTTCAAGCATTCGGGTCCAAATGGACAACATGTCTGCATGGTGTTCGAATACTTGGGAGACAATCTATTGACTTTAGTCAAGTATTCGGACTACAAAGGCATACCCATTCACATGGTTAAAGAAATATGTTTCCACATTTTAGTGGGGTTGGATTATCTGCACCGTCAACTGTCAATCATACACACGGATTTAAAGCCAGAAAACGTACTACTTATGTCAATGATAGATCCTGCTAAAGATCCGAGAAGATCAGGTGCACCCCTTATACTCCCATCCAGTAAAAGCAAGATTGTTTCCGATTCCGAAACATCTAAAGATGCTGGTAAGGGTTCGTATGGTGATATGACCAAGAACCAAAAAAAGAAAATTCGTAAAAAGGCTAAGCGAGTGGCTCGGAAGATTGTTGGTAAAGATGAGGCTGAGTGTGATGACGAGGCCAGTGGACCGGAAGATTCTCACAGGGATGCTAAGCCGAACGGAGAGTCAACTGAAGCAGTAAATGGTTCATGTGATGGAACGAAGGGGCACAAGAGAGGAAGCAAGTCGGCTAGGCAGAAGCTCTTGGCTGAGGTTGAACTGAAATGCAAATTAGTGGATTTTGGAAATGCGTGTTGGACGTATAAACAGTTTACTAGTGATATACAAACGAGGCAGTATAGGTGCCCCGAGGTTCTTTTAGGATCGAAGTACTCCACATCGGCAGATATGTGGTCGTTTGCTTGCATTTGCTTTGAGCTGGCTACGGGCGACGTTCTTTTTGATCCACATAGTGGCGACAACTATGACCGTGATGAGGTGAGGACCCCTTATTTATGTTTTGATTTTGAGATCCGTCTTTTTCACGTAATCCCTGATTTTGCACATTAACGCAAATAAAATAAGCATGCTATGGTGTTTAGTATGTTGATAGTTTTGCTGCTCGATAATACATGGCTAAACTCTTTTGCTGGACTCCTGTTTGTGAGCCTATGATTTGGTTGCTCAGTTCGTCATTTTTGTAGTTGTCTATGTGGTAACTATTGTGCATATTGTGAGTTTTGTTTTCATTGCCATTATGTAAGCTTATTTAAGCGATAACTGATTCTTTCTTAGCTAACTACATACTGAATTTTTCTAAAGAAAGATACTGTGTTGGTTATTGATTTTTTTACGCCTACAGCATTGCTTTATATTAGGCGTCCATATGTCTTCTCTCAACCGATTGTTTTCAGCTTCGGCTGAAGTAGTTGATTATTTGCTTCCTTTTGTGTCCTTGTGTTTTTCCTCTTTTCCACTTTGATTCGAGTGCTGCTGCTTGAAGTTCCATTTCTTGAAATGATACTTCTTTTATTTGATATAAGTTAGAATGAGTCGTATTATTGCCTTTCTCTCTCTCTTTTTTGGCTGCGCCATCTTTGCATATTTGGTTTCTAAGTTGACCTAAGAATATTTGATTGCAATTGCACATCATCAATTGTCAAATTCTTTATCCGCATGTATTTTTAACGGTATAAATTCTTTATTTATATTTGGTGTCCTTTTTCTGAAGGATCATTTGGCGCTGATGATGGAGCTTCTTGGAATGATGCCTCGCAAGGTGAATTTTTTTTTCAAATATTTTTTTGTTTGAAAATCACACCCACGGTTTTCTGTTATTGTGTATATCGCGAAACCAATTATTCGATTAATCTGCAGATTGCCTTGGGTGGCCGTTATTCGCGCGAATTCTTCAATAGATTCGGAGATCTGAGGCATATAAGAAGATTAAGATTCTGGCCTCTGACTAAAGTTCTTGCAGAAAAATACGAGATACCCGAGCACGACGCAACCGAGATGGCAGATTTCCTTATCCAGATTCTTGATTTTGTACCCGATAGAAGGCTGACAGCAGCACAGTGTCTTAATCATCCGTGGATAAGCGGAGTCCCTCGCCAGGTGTCGTCGCCTTCTCGTCAACTCAAGGCCGTTGAAAATGGTGGGCCCGGAGAGAAAACAGAGAAGGACGAGAGGGAGGCTATGGAAGCCAGAGTCGGCAGCATAGTCATCGATGGTGCAACAAAACCTGGAAACGAAATTAAACCTGTGGTGGCTAGCCCCGTAAAACAATGATGGGATTTTTGTATGGTGGTATTTACTGTTACCGGTTGGTTTTTGTTTGGACTGAAATTGTATGGTATTTTTCATGGATCTTCATGTAACAGACAAATTCTTTGTTCCCCTCTAATTAGATATGAGGATGTTTTTTTTCTTTGTTCAATTCTTTGTGGTTATTAATGGTTTGTGACATACAGTTATAATACACGATTGCACTTCACTTGTTGTTACCGGGCTGGAGGCATGTTTGAATGCTGGTTGTTCTTGTTTTGAGAATATTGCCTTTGTTGTGTAAGTTCAAATTACGAGAAAAAAATATGAAAAAATCCCCTTATGTTTGTGTAATTACAATCACGTCATTTAATTATGAATCTTTTTACATGTCCACCTTTGTGGTGTTATATTTATTGGAATTTTTAAGATTATGTGGAATATTCTCCACTTTGTACGTGTTTTACCCCATTCAAGCGAAGATTCTGCTGTTGTATTTTACACTACGAAAATAAAACGTATAAGAAGACCCATAGTTAAGGGGTGATTGTAATTACTCAAACATGAAGGGTTTTTTTCGTAAATTAATCTTATCTCATATGTGTCTGTAATTTTGTAATTTACCATAATATTGAAGGGGATGTGATAAATGTCGTTTGAGTTTTAATAACACCGTTACAACTTCAAATGTGATTTTGATCATTTATAATTCCAAATTTTGCAAACCCGAAAAATAGAATTTGTAGTATTCTGAGTTAGTTTTCTAATCCAACTTGAATCACCAAAATTGGATGTCGGACGAGAAATATATACATGAATCAATGGATACTGTCACAACATTGATGTATTGAGGTATCTAAAATTCAAAATGTGACTCATTCATGCATAACTTTGTCACACGACATCTAATCTAGCGGATTTAAATTGGATTAGAAAGCTAACCCAAAGGACTACAGTTTTCGTGTTTCGAATTTTGCCAAAATCAAAATAGAAATATGTATCAGATCGAAGTCAAAACAACATTAGTAAAATTAAAACCACATTTTACATTTAATTTAAGATGCAAAGAGAGAACAGAACATATAAATTAGATTAAATATAATTAAAAGAACCCTCAAGAGTAGAAAACGCAGCGGGAAACTTTGAAGAAAAACTCATCACTCTATCGCCATAGATCAAAATCCCATCACCACAGATCAAAATCTAAAAGCAGAATACATGTCAAATTCTCTGCCGGAAGAATACGAACAAGAAATCCAGTCGCCTCCCGCCCATCACCCTTCTGCCCCTCCTCACGAGGTATTAGAAATTCCCCCCCCCCCCCC